GGTAACTGTTTTGAAATAATACATACATTTTTTTATATTCACGGAAAGGTTTTGGGCATGCGAGAACATTGTTTTTAAAATAGAAGAATATATCTTTTTGGTTTGATAACTTTTTTGTTATACAAAAAGAAATTATCAAATAGACATGATTTTTTAGTACACGTGAATACTTTTGGAAAGACATGGATATTTTGTTTTTAAAACACGTGATATTTTGTTTTTAAGAAACAAAAAATGAAAAAAAAAGAGTAGGCGCCGCTGGGCCTAGTGCATTGCCACGCACTGCAGGCGACCGGCCCCCCTCGGAACTCCCATGGCGACTGTTTTTAGTTACACATATATTTTCTATACTGACGGAATTTTTTTGGGTATACGAGAACATTGTTTTTAAAAGACAAGAAATATAGTATATCTTTTGTATGGTAACTTTTTGTTATACAAAAAGAAATTTTCAAATAGGCATGAAAATCGTGTTCGAAGTCATAGCGTATGGCAGCCCCCCACAATATTTCCATATCTCCTCATGGACCTCTTCTATCTCCCTTTCTTTGCTTCTCTGTGGATCAGAAACACGGTCATCGAACGGACCTTTGGCATTGGCATCACTTGGGACATCGGCTGAATGGAGATGATCTGTTCCATCTCCTTCAGAGGACTCAGCACCAACAGCTTGAGATCTTGTATCCATTCTTTTGCTTTCTTGGCTGCTTGGGGATTCAGAAACACCATGATGAAATAGACTTTTGGAGTCGGGATCACTTAGGGCATTAACTGTATGCAGATAATCAGTTCCATCTCTTTCTGAGCAAGCCGCACCAACGGCTTGAAATCTTGTAGTTACTATTACTCTACTATCATTATTATTATCATGTGGCAACCAATTTCTAATGGTCTCCCATGTTTCTACAGACCATATATCATCAATCAAGAGGAGATACCTGCCAAAAAACATGAAACAAAATACAAGTGAGAAGAAACATCCTTAGCTTATTTAAGTTCATACTACTGAGGAAAAAAACCCTCCGAACAGTCCAAGAGAGCCTTATACGTATTCAGATTCAACACAAATTCAACTAGTTCAACCCAACCTATGTCCAAATTGCCATATTTTTATGAATTGGATTGATATAATTTTATGATTTTGATTCTACTTTTCAGGTACAATTTTAGTATGTTACCTGCTACGTTTTGTATAGAAATTTTTATTTATACTCGACTAGGTTCAGCTATAAAATTTGCTATTCGTAACAAGTTGAAGTTCAGTTATAAAATTTCCACAATTATTTCTTGTGCAACCTTTTTTTTGACGAAACTTCCTTGTGCAACTTTAACTATTAATATTTTGGTGTTTATTTTATCAAGGCTCCACTAGTTAGATAAGGTTTCTATTTTCTGAAAAATATTCCTTTTCTCATTCACTATTGTACATACTTCAGAATGAAATGGCTGTGGTAAACAACACAATTTTATCGCAGCTTTACTACAATTTAGACACTTGATGCATATACACAGTCATTACTAACTAACTATGAGTAATTTAGGAAAAACAAAAGAAATGATTTTGAGGTACCTCCTTTCAAGCAGGCGCTTTTTGAGTTCTTCAATAAGCTGGTCATGATTCATTGTTTCTATCTTATTTTGCATGCTGCCATCATTGCTTTGCGGCCTGTGACGAGAGAGCAGTGGCACAACTCGCTTAACTGAGCTTTTAATACCTGTCACTAGGCTCTTCTTCTCCACCTTCCCTGCGTTGCTGCCCTCCTGCACCTCCTCCTTTGTCTTCATTTGACTGTCTGCTGGCTTGATTTGCCCAAGAACATCCCTTAAGACTTCATCTTCATCAAAGTTCTGAGACACTGTGACTGATGCCCCGCGGTCAAATTCATTCCTGAAATCTCGGTACAGTGCCATGGCGATGGTGGTCTTTCCCACACCACCAAATCCAATCAATGACACAACAGCTCGATGAGAGCCTTTATCATGTTTGGCTAGCCAACCTCCGATTTTCTTCATGTCCACCGTCACTCCCACGGGGTTCTCTGTGCGGATGAGCTGACGGCTCCCACCAAATGCTCAGCAATGCCATACGTAACAGCATGGGTTGCTCCGGCTCCGGAGCTTGTTCTTGGGTTTGGGTTGTTCACTCCATATCTGTTGCGCCTCTCAGCAATGTACTGTGCCCGGACCTTGAGCTCGGCAATCTTGGAGGCAATGTCACGGCGAGGCCAGAACGTCCAAATCTTGTAGACTATCGTCACGATGAAGGAGCATCTTGCATCGCTGAGAGAGTCCTGAGGGAGGCGATGAACAAAGTCATCGATGCAGTCTTCCATGTCGTATGCCATGTCACGAATCTGCTTCATCCAGTTCTTGAGCTGGCAATCGTGGTCATCCAGGGCAGAGCCGAGGTCGCCAAGAAAGGCCTGCATGCTAGCGAGCTCATCGCTGATGTACTGGATGTCGCCGCGGATCAGAGTGTACTCTTGGGCAAGGAGACCACCCAACTTGCCTAGGAGAGATCTCATGGTGGCTTCCGAAGCACCCACTACAAACTCCATCTTCCTTATCTGTGATCTTCACTTCTATAATCTGCCCCCCGTTGTTGTAACTTGCAAGTGCAAAGACAGTGCTCAGCAGTTGTTGATCTATGAAAAGAATGGAAAGAAGGAAGATAAGGGTTAGCATGAATTATGGCCACAAAATAATTAATCATAAGAAGGCTCCACAATCAAATCATGGAACAATTCTAGTGAATATCAATTGGCCCCCAATCAAAGAAACTATACAAACAAAAGTTTTACCGATGACTGTGTTTTATGCATATAGAATTATCTAACCACACTATATATCAACACCACTAAGTTATCCCCAAAAATGATATGAAAACCAACAATGCCTCAAGATTGCATATAATGCTGAGGAAATTGTGGACGTTATGCACTTCATGGGATTTTCCAATTTGTACTTTTCATATGTCATAGTGCTAATTAATTGAGTGAAAAACAGGCTTGCAATTATGGTAGGTTGTCAAGATCAACTACCATGGCAAGTGGAACAAAAAACTACCAGACAACAGAAAATGGAGTTGGGGGTAGAGGAGGCACCTGCAAACTGGACAAGATAAGTTGCTGGTCACTGAAGAGTCTTGAGCAGTCACCGGGCAGGGCAGCCACCGTCGAAGGCAGCGGCTGCACAGGCAGGTGGAAGCAGGCGCGGTGTACTCCTGTCAAACTCTATTTTCATGGTTGCTTCCTAAGCACCCACCACAATCTCCATCTTGCGAGTGCAGCAAAGGATGAGTGGGCCGCAGAAAGTTCAAATCAAGCATAGACAGAGCTAACTTCCATTGCCACCTCGTCAGCAGTTGTCAATCTATCTATAACACCGTAAAGGCGGGTCATCGATCATGGTGAGAAAAATAATTTAGGTAATGAAACACTAAATCGTCCCCAACCAAATAACCTACCTTTGGAAATATGGCCATTTGTACTCAGGTGGAAATTTACTCACTGATAGACAACATGTGGAAATTTACTCACTGATAGATGATAGATGCTAGATAATACTCAGTTTTTTAGGCATCTAGTACACCCTGTAGTACGACTAGAAGATCTGGCTAATTAACCACTAGACTGAAACGAAAAGCAAAAAAATGTTCAGGCAATTCTAGACATTACATAGTTTCCAGTTTTCTTGTACACCTTGTAGGTCTCACCCTGTAGGCTATGCTCCTGATTGGTTCGATCTCTCTTCCTCTCTTCCCTCAAAAAGAAGTGAGAAACAAGAAGGGGGAGCACGAGAGGTGGGCACCTGCGATGCTGGCCGCCGAATAAGCTTTAGCAGCCAGTGACTGCCGTCGAAGGTGTCAGCGGCGGAGGCCTCTGCGGTGGCTCCTGGCTGGGCAGAGGATTTAATAGGCGGATGGAGGGACACTGCGAGCAGCGCCAGCGTCTGTTTTGGATTGGTTTCTTGGGTAGAGGGCGGGGAATCGAGGATGGTGGTGGACACAAGTAAAGTTGGCAAGCTGCTGGGCTTTTGCTTTTGCTTGCTGCATGCATGATTGACGTCACATTGAGAAGGGCTGCTTTTGCTGCTTTGCTGTGTGCATGCATGACCTTGCTCCTTTGAGAAGGGAAGCATCATTCCTTTGAGAAGGGAAGCATCATTCCTGAGAAAAAAGAAGCGGTGACGCGTTATTGAATCATTTGAGGAAAGGAACAAGGTGCAACATTTTTCATTAGCGTCATTTCATCACTTATCAGGCACAACATTTTCTCTGGATTATGGAAGATGCCAAAGAATAGCACACATCATAAATTCATCGTTACATCGCTGCGCTCAAAGCAAAATGGCAAGCTTGAAATGACAGTGTTTGCCAATAACAAAGAAAAAGAAAAGGGAAGGGCGATTCTTTTGGAAAAGCACCGAGTAGCTTTGCTGGTTCTCCAAGGAATGCATCCACCAAGAGGCACTCTATTCTTGGGGTAAGTAACTTAAGGAGAGAATCATGTTCTGTTCCTTGCTTCGCTAGTACAACTGGAGCACTGCTTTTTAAAAAGCAAAAGAGAGTGAGAGTAAAAACTTCTCCAATATAAAAAGGAAAAGAAGAAGATAAGCTTCTGGCTTGTGTTGGGTTATCAGCTTGTTGCAATACGTTTGAGATCGCTTGTCTTGTGGGAGTAGCCTTTCATTCATTAGAAAAATCAAAAGAAGCACAATGATCTCTTCCTCCCGCTTTGCCAAATCATCAAGACAAAGAACCGTTTTTCTATTTGTTGGAATCTGGGTTTGCTGCAACCCAGGAGAAGGCACAACTTAATCTCTTCCCTGCTATGATAACCAGCTGAAGTAACCATTTGGAGGTTGATCTCCACATTCCACCGAGGTAGACACAGTTCGCAAGGACGGCTGCCGGACCGGCGCCGTCTTCGACACACACACATAGATGTTCTTTGGCGGAGGCGCTCCATTGCATACAGCCTGCACGGCCTAGCTGAGCAATGGAGGGAGCTTCCGTGACAGCAGCCACGGGGGTCTTGGGGCCCGTTGTCGCGAAGTTGGGTGCTTTGCTGGGCAGCGAGTACAAGCTTCGGCGCCAGACTCGGAAGGACATCAAGTTCATCAAATCCAAGCTCAAGTCGGTGCACGCTATCCTTTGGGCAATATGGGGGAAGGAGACTCTTGATGCGCAATCCAAGGAGTTAAAGAAGGAAGCGCTGGATCTCGCCGATGATATGCACGACGCCATCGACGACTTCATCCTCACCATGGAGCCCAGCCGCAGAAACAAGCACCTGAAGATACAGATCAAGATCCAAGCAAGCCCCTTCCAAGATTTCAGGACAAGAGTAAATGAAGTGTTGGGCCGGTGCCACAGCAATTGGAAGTGGGAGAAGAACAAGTCTGCTGAACCCAACTTTAGCTTGTTTTCAAGAAAAAATGTCAAATCCAGCCCCCCAAGCAAACTGCCTCCTCCTCGAGCTCCATTTGTTCACAAGGATGCGTCAGAACTCGTTGGTATGGGAAAATGGAGGGATCAGCTCATCAGATACCTGCTAGGAGAAGAAGAGAGCACAATGGTGCAGCCACAGCTCAAAATGTCATCCATTGTTGGAATGGCCGGTGTGGGGAAGACAACGTTGTGTATAAGGAGATTGGAAATAAGTTCCAATCCCGGGCTTTTGTGTCCGTCACTCCAACTCCCAACATGAAGGAGGTTCTCACAAGCATTCTCAAGCAAGTAGGAGCTGAACCCCTTGCTGGCACCGAAGCAAGGACAGAGGAAGGCCTTATCCACACCATATCGAATTTCCTAGATGACAAAAGGTGTGCAAATTTATATTGAAGTTTAAATTTAGTTAATCCTTTCAAAAATATTCACTGTCAGGATCAGGATTTCAGTCCTAGATTTCTGAATTTAATTTGGTCAAGCTGCCTACTAATTAACTATCTTGTGCAACCAACTTGCCTAGGTACCTAGTAATAATTGATGACATATGGCATCGTGAAGAATGGGATATCATCAGCAACTCTTTCCCACAAAATAATCTTGGCAGTAGAATTGTCATCACAACTTGTATTGCTTCTGTACCAGGCGGTCATTTTGGTACTAACAAGCTCTGCATCAGAATAAATCCTAAACCTGGTCCTCTGCCAAGATTTCATCCTGATTGGAGTAAGCTAAGATGGCTATACGGACCTGATGGGGAGGATGTCGCCACTAGGATGAAGCCTGACATGGTTGGAGAAGGTTTTGACGGTGACCATCCTATTGTGGGCATGTGTGGTGGTGTCCCGTTAGCCCTACTTTGCATGTTTTCAGCAATGACAATGGTCCGTCAGCAACAAGAAGAACTAGGGGTACATGTAAATGCACGTGATGTGCAAGATATGATTGAGAAGCAAGTTAAGCAAAATGGAATTCAGAACACTCCAGGGTTTGAACCGTTGGCAGAGAGTTTCCAGCTTGGCTACACCGATCTTCCTCACCATATGTTGAAGACCTGCTTGTTGTACTGCAGTGTATACCCTGAGAATTACCCGTTTCACATGAATGATTTGGTCATGAGATGGGTCGCTGAAGGATTTACTTATAAAGTGGATGTAGCAAAAGGTTATTTCGAAGAGCTTTGCAACAGGGGATTTATGCTGCGTTGGGAGGATTCATTGGGTATGCCCACCTACCAAATGAATCCGACGATGCGAAATTTCCTTAGATGGAAATCGCGTGAAGATAATTTCATTACTTTCAGTTCCGACATCACACCGCCATATGCTTGTCGAATCCATCGGCTATGTATCGATGATTATCTAGTTGATGAAGGTGCGGTGGAGGTGGTGGATACCTTGTTGGAACTGGATTGGTCCCAGATTCGGTCTCTTGTTGTTTTTCAAGGTGCTAAGAGATATGTCCCTTTTGAGAAGTTGGAACGCGTGCGGGTGTTGGATCTTCAATATCACCACCATCAGCTTGAATTCCAAAGGTCTCGTTGGAAATCTTTTGAGGATTTTGGATTCGAGGCCCTTGGAAGTCAGCATGTGAAGGATATGTGTGGTGGCCTGCTCCGTGTGAGGCACCTATTCGGCCTAGAAGGGACAGGAATCAGTGAGATACCAACGGAAATAGCGAGGCTGCAGCATCTGGAGACTTTGCAAGTAAGATTCACATGGATCACAGAGTTACCCTGTGAGATTAGGGACCTACAGCAATTGAAGACTCTGGCCGTGAGTCACAACCGTAAGTTGGCAAAGCTGCCAAGGGAGATAGGGGATCTGCAACAGTTAGAGACTCTGGACCTGAGCTGGACGAGGCTGACGGAGCTGCCACGTGAGATCGGGAACCTCCAGAATTTGGAGAATCTGAACCTGCAGTGCACCAAGCTCAAAGAGCTGCCTCCGGAGGTTGGGAAGTTGCAGCATTTGAAAACACTGGAGGTGTGTGCGGCAAGCATCACAAGGCTAGGCAATGAAATTGGGGACCTGCAGCAGTTAGAGACCCTGGACCTGAGTTGGAACCATGGGCTCACACGGCTGCGTCGTGAGATGTGGAAACTGCAGAATTTGAAGCGGCTGCTCTTGAGTGGTACAGGGGTGGCGAAGATACCAAGGGAAATCCGGGGGCTGAAGAAGCTGGAGATTTTGGAATTATACAATCTTGAAGGGGGTGCACTACCCTAGGAAGCTGGCCAGCTCTCGAAACTGGAGGGAGTGCCTGAGTGCGTCCGCCAAGTCTAGAAGAAGAGTGGCCTTGTGTCTGAGTTAGCCGGGGAGATGTTGTCCATTCGACTGGTTAATGGGGTCACCGATAGCGGGGGCCTAACCGTTGGCACAAAACACATGCACATTCCATGGTGGATCAAGGATCACTTTAATGACATTACCTCCTTGGATATCAGGATCTGCAAACTAGAGGAGGAGCAGGATCTCAAGATTCTGCGGGAGATGCTGACGATAAGGCTTGAGGTCGTCCCGAGAGATCCCATAGCCATCAGCGGTGAAGGGTTCCCAAGCCTCAGGGAACTCGTTGTTGACAGCCACTGTGTGCCACGGTTTACCTTCCAGGAAGGAGCGATGCCGAGGCTGTACAAAGTCTGCTTCAAGTTCAAGTTCTACGGTGGCCCACCTCCACCAGCAAATAAAGACCTGCAGCTGGGTATCAAACACCTCCGGTACCTCACCCAGATAGAATTCGGATGCAAGCTGGAATGGTACCGAGGAGCAGCAGAGAGCAGCCCGTGCATGAGCTCCATGATTGACGTCGTGAGGAAAGAAGCCCAGCAGCATCCCAGAGAGATCCGCGTTTGTGTCTCTGGCCGCGAGCCCGAGTATTTCCCACCAAAGGAGAGCTTGGCACGGGAGGTTTCCCTCTCCAGCAGCAGCGGTGGGACGGGCGAGATCAAGGGAGAGGAAGAAGAGGAGATCCTGGAAGCAGCGGCTGGGTGATTGGGTTTATTATTGACCGGGCGAGGTAATCCAGTCCGTCCGTCCGTGTGGCTGGCTTCCCACTCGTAATCAATCCGCATGTTGGATTTTTCTCTTTTTTTTTTACCAACAACGGACGTACGGAGCACTAATACACTTGCTTGTACCGACCGCCGTGTTAATTTGCAGGTTAAATAATAGAACATTTGCTTATCTATTAAACATGAGGATTTTTCAATACATGATGAACATTTGCTTGTACCGACCTCCGTGTCAAGCTTTGTAGAGTTTGACTAACTTTATATTAAAAAATATAAACATTTACGATATGAAATCAGTATTATCAGATGCACCATAAAACGTATTTTCATACTATATAGTTCAAGTATTGTTGATGTTCATATTTTTTGTTATAAATTTGGTCAAACTTTGTGTAGTTTGACTTTGACTAAATCTTATATGCGGAGTAAAAAAACGGAGGGGGTAATTTAATAATGACACAGTGCCCGCGCGCTATTCGTGCGCATCTTGCGGCCGCCAGTTAAGGAAAGTCCTCCTTTCGGTCCCCACCCATGTGCTCAAAAAAGGCAGGATCCCCTTTCCCTTGTCGTTGCCGCGTCCGGACAGCCAACGCCCCCTCTGACTCACGTGATTTTCCCCCCACCCCCTCTCCCAACCCACCACCAAAAAACCCCACGCCCCACCTGATCAGTACCCGTCACACAACAGCCAAAAAACAGAGTAAAAGAAGGCGAAAATCAAAGCGAAAAATCCTGGGAAAAAATCCTGAAAAACGCAATTGTGTCTGCAACTCTTTCTTGCTGGTCAGGCAAAAATTTGGAGATTGTAGGCAAAAAAATTGCCAGAGCTGGGCAAATTTCTCCCGTGTGAACAACAAAAGGTAACAGGTTGTTCCAATTTGTCTTCTCCATGAACTTCGTTC